AATAAATAAAATTATTTTTCCATTCTTATGTAAAATGGTTCATGGATACCTTTTATATGTAAAACTCTATAGTGGGGCTAAGGATAAGAAAATAAACAAGCAAAAAATACATATGTTGTCACAAGTATTATATTCCAGTGGGATGAAATTACAAGATATTGTAGAGAATGACATATGCTTTGAAGAAATATAACACATTGATATAATAAAGAATGATTTGTGATGTGGGTGAGATGGTTTCATTACAGAGTTAACATTTTTTTCCCCAAAATCCAAATAATAAGAATGAATCAGTGTGGTAGGAAAAGTAATAGTTCCCCCAAAATACTTTCCCCAAAAGTAATAGTTCCCGATAGTCTGTGGCCAAATCCCTAAGACTTGGTATATTTTACCAGACAGAACAAAGGGACTTTGCATATATGATTAAATCTGAAATGTCTTCTATTATTTATTTACTCATTTATTATGATCTTACCTCACCAGGATGTAATTCTTATGAGAGTTAAGATTATTCTTGGGCTGGAGATGTGGCTCAAGTGGTAGCACGCTTGCCTGGCATGCGTGCAGCCCGGGTTCGATCCTCAGCACCACAAACAAAGATGTTATGTCCACCGAAAACTAAAAAAATAAATATTAAAAAATTCTCTCTCTCTCTCTCTCTCTCTCTCTCTCTCTCTCTCTCTCTCTCAAAAAAAAAATAGATTATTCTGAATATTTACATGGGCCCAATCTAATCATCTAAAAGTGGAAGAAGGCAGAAGAGTGGGTCATAGAGTTCAGATATCATATGAAATCAACCTGCATTGCTGACGTTGATGATAGAGGCAGAGGGTCAGGTGCCACGCAGTGCAGCAGACCCCTATAAGTTGAGAATAGCTTTTATGTCACATGTATCACAAATACAGGGGCCTCAGTTATATGACTTAATTTTCTCAATAACCCAAGGGAAGGGCTTTTCACCTAGTACTTTCAGAAAGAAACACAGGTTACTTATATTTGACTTTAGTCAGGAGAGACTTGGGCCAGACTTCTAACCTACAGAACTATAAAATAATAAAATTGTGGCAATTTGTTATGGCAGCAATAGACAGCCAACCTAGTCAGCTTTGAAAAAGTAAGGTTAAATTTGAATGGAGTATTCCAGTCAGAAGGAAAGCAAATGTATAGATCCCAGAGTAGCACTGAGTTTACTGTATTTGGCAATTCGAGAAACATACAGTTAAGTCTAACTGAAGGATAAAATGGTAAAGGGGAAAATAATGAGAGAAAATCAAGGAAGTGGGTGGGATAGGACTTAAGGCTTTATTTGCTCTGACAGAGATCTTGGGTGTGGTTTGGATCTTTGATGTCCTGGCGACAGCTCATGTGTTGGGTAATACAGGAATATTCAGAGATGAAATGATTAAATTATGAAAGCCTTAACCTCATTAGTGGATTAATCCACTTGATGAATGATTTGGATTTTTGGATGATAGATGTAGGTATGTGAGGTTTGGCTGGAAGAAGAAAGTCACTGGGAGTTACTATATCCCTACCTCTCCATCACCCTGTTCTGCATCCCAAATGCCATGAACTGAGCAGCTTTATTCTGCCACACCCTTCTACCATGATATTTTGCCTCACCTTAGCAGGGCCAGCCTATCCTGGACTGAACTTCTGAACCTGTGAGCCCCAAATAAACTTTTCTCCCTCTTAAGTTCTTCTTGTCAGCTATATTTGTCACAGTGATGAAAAGTTAACTAACACAAATGAAATTCAAAGATAGTAGAAGGCTTTAAATCAGAGTATGACATAAATATTAAAAATATTATTCTGATTGCTGAGTGGCAAATGAATTGTTATAGGCAAAAAAGGTAGTAGCAAAGACCCTATAAAGTATTGTTTTGATCTATGTAAGAAAATGCTGCCATTTTGAAAAATAACAATAGATATAGAGAACACAGATGGATTTAGGATATATTGGGAGGTAGAGTCACAGCATGAGCTGGTGATTTACAGACAGGAAGTAAAGAAAAAAATAAAATTGACTCATAATTTTTTCTTTAATCAGTTAGTTGATAGAATTATTTAATTTTAAGGAAAATATTGGAGAGAAAATTATAGTCCCCATTAACAAATGATGATAATCAGTCAGGAATGTGGAATTTCAAACAAATTTCCTAAGGTAATCTAGGAATATTTGGATTTTATATTTATTTATCAGAGAATATAGGAATCTCTTCTATCACTTTCTCTAGCACTTCTTAACTATCTAAATTATTTTAAGACAAATCAACCATTTAAAACCTCTAGAAATTTTCCTAGAAGCACATGGAAAATGAAGACAATTGTATGCAAGAAAGTCTCCTTGGTCTCGGAGAACAGTGATTCTCAGGGAGAAGAGTAATAATCTTAGAATCAATCTGCAACCTCCCTAGTCCACCTCAATGTGGCAGAAATTTTATTTGTTTTTTTAAGTGGGGCCAAGAAGATAGGACTCTCCCTTTTCTCTCAGTTCCTAAGAGATATACCATGTCTCTAAATGAGGAGTCTACTTGGGCCTTTCCATTTTCCATCTGCATTTTTTGAATTGCAAAGTCTAAATTCCTGGGAAATGTGACCAGTTGACAACACCCTTCCAACCATCCCCCATTCATAGGGGGGTGTGGCAGGCAGAGGGTACAGGCTCCCCAGTGAGTCTCACCCTCCCTTGTTTATAGAGTGGAGATTATACATGAGGAATGGTAAACAGAAAGCTGGAGGCTTTCCCTTATCAATTATCCTGCTTATTAACTGGGGGTGTTCAGCTAGGGAAAGAAGCTACTATGCTCACACCTCCTACAGAGATTTTGCATGAAGGGACAGGGAGGCTATAGGGACATAGTATTTAAAGATCTTCCCAAAGAAGCTGAATGTATTTGGAAGAGCTTGTGGAAAAGCTCATGCCTAAGGGCACTCTTTAAAACAAAGGAATTTGGGTATTAAGCAATTAAAAAAGAGGTTGGTAGCTCCCTAGTGGCTAATCTGTAGGCTAGGTAATTTACCAGACAGAAACAGGGAAAAGAAAACAGTTAAGAAGACCCATACTGAGGTAAGGAAAAAAAAAAAAAAAAAAAAACCTCAATGACTGGCCTCAAGAACTACCCCTGCACATGGATTTGAATTTAATTGGATCAGATCTTGAAGCAGTTTGTGCCTAAGGGCAGTACTGAGAACAGTATAACAACCACTTGGGAATTAGTAGAGCCTACCGGCAGGTACATTGCCAAGAAAAGCAGACAGTTTAACAGAAAAATTAAGAAGAGAAATAGTTGAGAACCTTCTAAAACCACAATCCTGAAATCCTTTACTACACAGTAAAGGATTTTTTTCTCCTTGTTTTCTTAATTTTTTGAAAGTTGCAGAGCATAATATGCATATAATTGCCTTCTTGTGCCCATAAAACCTTAAAATGTAATATATATTTCACAATTAATACAGAAAGGAGCAAAGGAAATGACATTGGATGACAACTTGAATCTATAGAACCAAAGGAGAATCAGAAGTGTTAAATAGGAGGAGAGACTATAACAAATTCCAACATATGTACTAGGTTTCCTCTTCTATCTCAACTTTTAAAAAAGTAGAAAATTGTATAAAGTAATAATAATGATAAATCATGGTCACCGCATATGGAGTAGATGCAGTATGAATGACAATAATAGCACAAGATAAAGAGGAAGCAACAGCACTACACAGGAATGCCATTTCTGTATCTCACTGGAAATAAGTTACTATAAATCTGAAAAAGATTCTAAATTAAGATGCATGTGGTAAGCCCTAAGGAAAGAACTTTTAAGTATAGTGAAAATATAATTGAAGCAATTAAAATGTTATACCAGAAAATACTCACACATCACATATTGCAAAAGATATTCATAAAAGAAGAACTGAGGAGCAGACATGAGACCCATAATAAACAACAATAAAATGGTAAGCATATATTCAAATATGTGAATAACAATTTTATATGTGAAAAATCAAGCAATACAATCAATAAGCAGACACTGAGAAACTGGATTATTATTTTTAATTTATTTTTAATTGCTTTTATTTTTAAATACATGACAATGGAATGCATCACAATTCATATTACACTTATAGAACACAATTTTTCATATCTCTGTTTGTATATAAAGTATGTTCACACAAATTCATGTCTTCATACATTTACTTTGGATAGTGATGTCCATCACATTCCACCATCATTGCTAACTCCCAGCCTCCTCCCTTCCCTCCCACCCCTCTGTCCTATCTAGAGTTCCTCTATTCCACCCATGCTCCCTCTCCCTACCTGACTATGAGTCAGTCACCTTATATCAGAGAAAACATTAAGCATTTATTTTGGGGAATTGGACAACTTCACTTAGCATCATCTTTTTCCAACTGCATCCATTTACCTGCAAATGCCATGATTTTGTTTGCTTTTTAATTGCTGAGTAGTATTCCATTGTGTATATATGCCACATTTTTTAATCCATTCATCTACTGAAGGGCATCTAGGTTGGTTCCACAGTTTAGCTAATGTGAATTGTGCTGCTATCAACATTGATGTGTTTGTGTCCCTGTAGTATGCTATTTTTAAGTTCTTTGTGTATAGACCAAGGGGAGGAATAGCTAGGTCAAATAATGGTTCCATTCCCAGATTTCCAAGGAATCTCCATACTGCTTTCCATATTGGCTGTACCAATTTGTAGTCCCACCAGCAAAGTATGAGTGTGCCTTTTTCCCTACATCCTTGCCAACACTTATTGTTGTTTGTCTTCATATAGCTGCCATTCTGACTAGATTGAGATAGTATCTTAAAGTAGTTTTGATTTGCATTTCTCTAACTGCTAGAGATGATGAACATTTTTTTATATATTTGTTGATTGATTGACTATCCTCTTCTGAGAAGTGTCTTTTCATGTCCTTAGCCCATTTATTGATTGGGTTATTTGGTTTTTTGATGTTTAGCTTTTTGAGTTCTTTATATACCCTAGATATTAGTGCTCTATCTGATATGTGAGGGGTAAAAATTTGCTCCAAAGATGTAGATTCTCTATTCACCTCATAAATTGGAGAAACTAGATTTTTAAAAAAGCATTCCACTGTGCACTATCAATTAAAGACACATTTTTGGATTTAAAGACACAGATACATGGAAAGAAAGAAAATATGAAGTTACATCATGCAAAGGGCAATCATAAGATAGTTTGAGAGGCTGTACTTACATAAAAGACATAAAGATAAAACAAAGTTATAGGAGATAAAATAAAGTGTTAATTTATTTAGAATATATAACAATCATAAACATATATGTACCTTGCAATTAAGCCCCAAGAAACATAAAGCAAAAATTGAAAGGTTGAATGGAGTAATTGACAATTTGATAATAATTGGTAGAAATCTCAATGTCCTCCTTTAAATTATTAATATATAGAAAAACTAAGGAGAAGATAAATAGAAAAATAGAAGACTTTAGTAATATAAATCATGCTTGTTAATGCATATAAAATTGAATACAATATGTTTTTAAACAATGCATATAAAATCGAATATAATCTATGTTTTTAATCAAATTATTAAATGTTCAAAATTAATTAGGTCTGAATAAATATGGATTTTTTCATTTGGTTCTAAATTTAAGGTAATGGGTTTTTGTACCTTTCTTTCTATCATCTTCATGTTTGATGATTTTTGCATGTGTTTTCTTTGACCTTTTATTGAATAAGTACTCTTTAAAATATTAATATTGTAAAATATTCATAGCAACAAAATGAGCTGCACAAGTATCATAACCACAGTAACAATGAGTAATGTTTTATGATTGGTTAATTAAACAAGGCATTTTCTCCTCTATAATTCTACTACATCCTTCTATGGTATAGTTAAATATTTAAGGAAATTTTTAAACTCTTTCACTGAAAAAAATACACAATACTTATACATACAAACAGAATCCTCACATAATTTCAGAGCGACCTACAAAGCATTGAAGGCCAGCCTTAGACTCCATGTTAAGAATCCAAAAGTTATAACCATATGGAAATTAAAGTGCTGCTATGCATGGTGTGAATTTATCTGCATGCAGAGCCAGCTTTATAAAGGAAGCCAAATGCTTTCTTGTATAAATTATAGAGACTAGTTCACCTCAAAAGTCAGATTTGATTTTTCTTTCCAAATAATGTTTATTTTTGCAAAATAAATAAATAAATACATATTTGAAGTGGAGATTGAAATGTAATTTTTCACCTTGAACTATTAAAGCAAGTTAGTATGAATTAAACATTTGTTGTAAAATTAACGTTGTCATTTGTATATCAGTATCTGAAACATTCATTCATCAAATGTATGTGAATGCATGTATAGAACCAGGCTAGATTAGATGCACTGGGAAATAAATGCTAATCAAAATAGAAATATTTCTGACCCATGTAATCTAAAGTACAGTGGCAGAGATAGATATTCTTCAAGAGCATATTCAAATAATAACTGTTTTGAAGACTCATGGCGGTATAAGAAGAGCCTATAATGGGAGATTTGATCTAATCTGAGAAGGTAGGAATATCTTCTTTTTAAAAAGAGAAGTAGTGATTGAGCTGAGATGAGAGAAAAAGAAGTTAGGTGAATGGAAAGAGGAATCATATACCATAAGAAGTAGGTTCTCATACAAGTGTACCAAGGCTGAAAGATTATGGAATTGAAATCTTTGCTATATTATACTTTCTCCTTTTTCTCTTGGAATTCATGTAGATACATAACTATAGATTGTGTGTGTGTGTGTGTGTGTGTGTGTGTGTGTGTATACATAAAATATCTAGCTACTTTCGTATTATTTGAACTTTGGAAATGGTTTATTAATTTGCACCCTGTACATGTGATCATTACAAATATGTTCATTAAAAATGTTTTTAGTACCTAAATAGGAATTATCCTGCTATGCTTTTGCATGTGTTCATGCATGCATTTCTGTATGTCATCATATATAGAGTATCAACTGACACTTCCTATATTATCTGATCATCCTCATATCAACAACCTGGACCTTGATGATTACTTCAGTAAGGTCTTCAGATTTTTTTTTTCCCATTTCATACTAAAATGTGAGAAATTATATGGTAACCTTATGTGTTGTCTCACTGCCACCTGGTGGTAGAAGTATAGAAAAGGCAGCAAAGCAAATAGATGACCAGGTGAAAGTCATTTCCCACAGCTTAAACACCACTTGATCCTTTTCAGAGCCTTCTAGTTGAAGCATTTTCCACTTCTAATGCTTGGCTCTTTCAATAAACTGGGTGGAAAGTCCTAAGAAACAAGAAATGAAACTGTCAATGACTAAGCAATATGCATTTTTTGAAGAGAAGGTGAAAATAGTAAGATGCTAAAAAGATGTATTTGAGATTCTCTAAGCAGTTTTGAAAGTTCAAGGATAAATTTTCTCAAAAGCTTCTGTTTTGTGTGGCTTTATTCTTGTTAGCTGAGGAAATTAAGCATCCCAACCTTTGAAAATGTACCATAATAAATAAAGTTTTTAAATCCTATAGACATAGCTATGGCCTCTCCCTTTAGTTTTCATCATTTTTAAACCTAAATTCCCAACACAGAATTTCTCTTTTCTGAAGGTTCTGGTCTTTGTGTCTTGTTGTTCTATATACACTATTCCTTACACTGTGATAGAGTTGGACATTGACTGGTATTATTTCAAGTCTAGAAAATTCATTATAACTTCTGAAAGAATATTTTTTAAGAAAATAATAACTCTGAACATCTTTTTATCTCTTAATGTTCAAATTTTTCTAATCCATTGTGTTTTAAGTGAGTGAACTTCATGGAAAACCAGTGTCAACCTCTGTTCTACATTTTCTGTTTGTAGAATTTCTGATCACAGACTTCTGGATTTTGTCACAATTTTGTGTTTGTCTAGATAACAGAGGTATCCTATTTGAATTATTTACAGGTACTACAATGTATTTCTATACTGGAGCTAATTGAGTTTGTGGGTGTGGATTTAGTATTAAATCAGTGCTTTACATTTTTACTGTTCCTTCCTATGTTATACTTCATCTAGTTCTGAAAAAAAAATTCTTGAGGGAAACAGAAAGGAAAATAGTTCTTATTATTATCCCTACTTCATCAGTGAAGAAGTAGAAATAAAAATGAGAAATGAGGAGAACATAGAAATCTGGTTTTAACACCAGAGATTTTCTTTCTTTCTTTCTTTTTTTTTTTTTTTTTTTTGCTACATCACCACAGACATAGGGGCAATTCTTCCTTGCTTTTTGTACATCCACTAAAACCTAGCACCTTTAAGGGGATTTGGTGTGTTTCTAAAGCAAGGGTGTCAGGGCACTGTCATGAGTGAAGGAGCACTACCTTGGGTATTACTAGGTATATGGTATGGCCTCGGCTGAAAAAAAAAATAGAATTATAATACACCCCTCCCTAGTTTCATAAGAGGATTAGAGTTAATTTATGCAAAGCTCCTAGCACAATTCCTGGTTTATAGTAGGTGTTAAAAATAGCCATTATCATTAAGAGAAGAACATGAAGCTAACAAGATTCCTGTGGATCATCAGACCTCTACTGAAGACAGGTTCTCTATGATATGCTGAACTGACGCTGGATTACCTGAAATGATTCCACCAGCTGTTACTCCTGAATTCCAGGGCTATCCTGTCGTCCTGTTTGATGCCTAGCAACCACTATTCCACTTCCATGTTAACCCTGATTGGAAAGAATATATAAATGTTATTTATGTGTGCAGATCTGGTTCCCTTATGGAGAGTCAGTTTGTCCCATCCGGCTAGTCCATGAGGGCTTATTTTATCCCTAGCACTGTGCAGGAGAGATTTAATAAAGCAAGCAAGCAAGCAAATAAACCCGCAATTGTACCAGGCAGAGTATCTCCTGCAAATAAAGGAGAGAAGAAATTACACAGTCCAACAAATAAAAACTCATTTCATATTTCCAGATATGGCGTGTGTGTATGTGTGCATGTGTGTGTGTGTTGCTTTAAAATGCCAATCATAAATGTCCTGTCACAGGAAGAACATCAAGCTACGTAATGCATCTCTACAGGCAAGTAAAACTTGTGGGTTTTGGCCAAGATTCAGAAGAGAGAAGACACTGACACCTGCCAAGAGCTTCCAACAGTTCGGTATCTAAGAAAAGAATGTTAGTGAGGGCAACAAATGGCCTGCAGAGAAAAACAAAAAATACTGTGCTGAGGCCAAACTGTCCTGGAGAGAGCAGTATCTTATGCAAAAACATGGGAACAAAGCTTTTGAAAGAACAGACAGCTATGCTGGGGGCTAATGTTTTCGAAGGGTTTCAGATACACATAGATGTAAGATAATCTGAAAAAATGAGTAAATTTATTTTGTAAGTCCAGGGAAGAGCTAATGCAATGAAAACAAATTTTCTTTGGAAATCCTGAAGTGGTTCATATTTTATTCAGTATATTTATAACTCCCACAAAGAAATATTACTGTCTTTAAGCAAATATATTATATAATACAGAATTTATGAAAAGTAAATTTGGGTATAATTGTCTTCTTTGAAAAGTAAACCATTGAGTATTTCCTCTAGGAGGTAATTTCACATGTACATTTAACTTATAATTTCATTTTCAAAAGATGATGATTAGCACACAACTGAGTTTGTGGCACACATTGAAAAGTCTACCAAAATTTTCAGCCATGAAAGGAATCAAAGAAATAGAACTGCACACTCAGATCATGGGTTGAAGTCTCCCAGAAATTCAAGCATTATAATGGAGAGTCTACAAGTTAGACAAGGAAATTGCCTTACTAAAAAGAGAATATAATATATCACCAGGCTGATAGAAAAAAAAAAAAAACTGAAAAAAAAAATCTAGTCTTTAGGAACCTGAGTCATCAAATGTTGAATTGTTGGTCTAAGATTCTTCCCCGATTCCATAATAAAGGAAAAGAAAAATCAGTTTTCAGTCAAAATTGATCTTTTGAGAAAAATAAACCACCAGAAGATTAAATAGCAATCTCTATACTCTATAATTAGAGTGAACAGCACACTCAGACAGGAAGTGAACATGTCTATGAGAGAGAAAGGGTGCCTAACTATAACACCCCAGAAGTACACAGAGAATGACGAAATGTACAACTGAAAAGTAATTTATAAGCTGGGCGCGATGGCGTATGCCTATAATCCCAGCATTTGAGGAGGCTGAGACAGGAGGATTGTGAGTTCAAATCTAGCCTCAGCAACAGTAAGGCAACTCATTGAGACCCTGTCTCTGAATAAAATACAAAATAGGCCTGGGGATGTAGCTCAGTGTTCGAGTGCCCCTCAGTCCAATACCTGGTACCAAACAAAACAAAACAAAATAAACAAATAAACAAAAACTGACTTATAAAGTTGTCTGGCTTTAATGAATGGTGGACATTTTTAAGGTAAAAATATGTGTGTGTATTTGCTCTGTGGGAGTCTTTCTTCGATAAATGTGATTTTCTGGCTTCAAATTATAGTCAACTGGATAACCTGAGAGGCTTTCTAAAAAGGAGAGATGCTTATGCATTTAGATCCTCTAAAACAATTTTAATCTTTGGAAGTAGTGGTTGGGCACTAAAAATGTTTTCCAGAATACAATATGGTACACCTACAAATGACAGACAATGACCAATAGCCACAATAATCAATGTTAATTCAGCCTACATAAACCAAACACTGTTTATGCCATTTTCTCAGATCCTCTCACTTGGTATGGCTTATTCCCATTTACAAATAAGCAAACGGATGTTTTAGAGGATTTCAGTGACCTGCTAACTTTATACGGATTAGAAAGCCGGAAAAAAAAATAAGGATTATCTGATTTTAGCAGCTTAGTCTAATTCCATGACCACATTCACAAATTCATTCACTTATTTATTTAAATCATTTATTTATTCAATAATCACATATTGTTTATTATGTAGGAGAATTCAGAAATGTAGATGAATAGGACATATGCCATGCCCTTGGAGTGTTTGTTTCTAGAACATTCCTAGCTTTTAGGCCTAGAATGTAACTGTGACTAGTGGTGGTGACCCCTGTGCCTCCGTTGCATATGTTTCCATCTGTGTTTCGTAGCTGTTAAGATGGGAATCTTAAAACAGCTGTAAAAAGGAATTGTAAACTGGCACACATGCATCATTCTCTACTCAGACCTTGTAATTCCAGAACTCTGGTAGGTTACTGACTGGCTAGTAGTGAGTGCAAAGTTGCATTTATAAATGGCCCTTCCCAAGAGGTGTATTTGTCACCTGTTGAACATATTTGCTAAATTTATATCTACAGTACAAGGTACACTTTCTACCTAGCATAAAACAAATAATGAGTAACTATTTAATTGAAGTAAACCAAATTGAATTTGAATTATACCTCCAGGTAACGATCTGAGTTACTAAAGGAACACAGTTTAAGATTTCTTTTCCTTTCACAGGCTTACACATTCCCCTCTTAGGCTTCTGCTAATGGTGCCAGACTACTAAATGAGGACATTCTAATGGGAGAAGGGCTTATTTATATAAATGGCATATTTCTTTTGCTGCTTCTACTGGGATCCATTTATCCTTCCAATTTGATCCAAATTTGTATATACACTGGGATAGAAGGCTTGTAAGAGTGCCATGTACCCTACTGAGTCCCTCATTAAATATTAAGCAGTTATTAATGGAATTAAACATTAAACTGATTCCAGAAAATTAAAATAAGCAAAGTCATCATTTGGTGGTCGAAATTTTCTACTTTAAAGTTTATATATACAATTACAGGAAAGGCACTGGATTATGAAAGCTTTTAACTTTGGGAGAGAAAAAGTCACAGTGAATTCTCTGATGTAAGAAACAAATGTTTCCCCACAGAAATGTGCACTAACTCTGGGGAATCGAATGCCAGCATTTGAGTTCTGTGGAGACGTGTTAGTGAAGGATTCTGTCCAACTGGAAAAATACACAGGAGAATCTCCCTTCCATGTATTAATACTTTTCATGTCTTCACCTTCAGAATCCAGGTGGGAAAAGGGCCTGAAAATGAAGCTTAACTTTTTATGTTTGCATTAAAATGGATGCTTCATCTTTTACAAAGCAAGTTGTGAGTGAAGGGTAAAAAAAAAAATAATAATCTAATCCATTCTTATTTGCACAGACCTTATTTGAGCAGCTAGCATCATTGCTGAAAAGCTGTCACAACTCTCAGATCTGATAGCAAGGGCTGGCCACAAGCCTTAATAGGCAATGAACCGGCCAGCACATTCAATTTTAATTAAATCTCCATGCCAGGAAAGAAGGCTTTGGAGGAAAGCAGGCTTTAGAGGTGCCATGTGTTCATGAAGTTGGTCTATATTCACAGAGCCATTTGCAACTGGTGTGGATACTTAACTGACCAATTAAAAGAATTTTATCATTTGACTTCCATCAAACATTTGACGTAACTACAAAATGATCTTTGAATTATGCGCACCTTTATGGCTACTCATTCTCCAGGGAGGTGAGACCTTCTTCCAGAACTGTTGTCTCTCACAAATTTAGGCCACATCTTCCTCTTTCATTATCCTGTCACAAGTAATAAATGAAAAATAAACCATTCCATTTGTCTTGCAAAAACATCAAGGACTCAGAGGTAATGTTTTTACCCCAACTCCAAAGAAGCTGGAAAAGGCCAATTACAGCTGTCGAAAGCAAGCTGCACTCTGTCGCTGCAGGTAATAAGATCTGCCCGAAACTCACCATCTGCACCTCCCTAGCATCAGTTGCTATCAAATTACATTTCCCATAAGGAAATTAAAGAAAAATCGAATCACACGCCATATGTAGATTCATCTCCCTGGTGTTACTTACATTTGCCTTTGCCATTGTGACAATGAGGAGGAAGGATACTTGTGACCTGCTCCACTACTAACTTATGGAGGAGGAGCCTTATGGCACTGGTGCCACCTTCACATACTATGCTAATAATGTCTTACTAGTTACCACAGCAACAGGGCCCAGAGGCTTGTTGAGCCATTTCTCCTCATTCTGGAGTGCAGAAGATTACATATTTCAGAGGGAGGCAGGAAGGACAAAAAAGAAGGAAGGGAGGGAGAAAGGAAAGAAGGAAGGAGAAAGACTTTCATGTTAATTTGGAGTCCTGTTCCAAATATTTCCCTTCTGATGCAAAAATGGGTACTCACAAGGAGCAGAACTGGGAAGTAAAAGCTTTTATAACATGTCCCTAAAAAACTCAGAAAATGTCTTTCTTCACTACAAAGCTGTCGTTTATAGCCCAATAAGGAAAGGAGAGATGGGAAAGTGTATAAATTGAAAGGATGCTTAAAATCTAATTCCTGCATGTGGTTCTATATATGGCTTGTTGATCTTTAGTCTTTCTCAGTGTACTGAGTTTTTTTTCCCCCCCTTGGTGTATTTACATGTTATAGTTTCTTTCTTCTTCCATGATATACATATGGTCACCCCAGGCCTCAGCTCAGTTGCTGAGCTCTCTCTCTTTTCCTTCATCACTATGACTTTGAAAATCCCCACTGCCTCATTTCCAGCAGCTCCTCATTTCACTGTAATTTTCTCTTTTGTCCTCAATAACCCATGAAGCCAGAACTCCCCACCGCAACACACGCAGACATGCTCTAACTCTCCGCTTCACTCACATTGGGCTAGTGCTTTCTTTGTAAAACTCTAGCCATACTCACTGTCTTTAATATTCTTTCCTAGTTC